TGAACATCCAAGGGGGAGTGTTATAAATATATATATATATNCCATATGGAAATCCGCCATAAATATGGTTATCTATTTAGTACTCTATTGGAAATAAGCTTCTTCATACTCCGTTATGGATAAATATTACCCCGGCAGAAGATTATCTATATCTAGTACAGTAGCAGCTTACAAGCAACTTACAAAAGGCTTACACAAAAGCTTACAAGTAGCTTATAGTACTAGCTTACATAATAGCTTTCTTTTTTCTATAAATAGAGGAGATTTAAGTCAATTGTGTACCTCAATTTGAAGTTGAATAATAAATATATAGGTTTTTTACTTTTAAGTCTTTATTTTATAATAAGGGTATTCTTCTGTAATATTCTAAATTTTACACCGAAATTCTCATCGATCAAAAGCTGAAGCTCTCAAAAGACACGTGAGAACCATGGCAATGGCGGTTGGAATCGGAGAAGGAAATTCGGTCGCCGGCGGTGGAAGTTTATCGGACCTTTACCAAAACTCCAGGCGGCTCTTACTCAAGTCTCGAGATGGTTTGGAGAGGCTCGAGCGTTTCGAGTACACTTCCTCTTCTTCTTCATCTTCCATCCCATCGTCATCTTCGAGCACCGCTATAGTCGATCCTTCGGAACAATCATTTGACGCCGTAAGGAAAGAAATCGCTCAGATCCAGTCTCTTTGCTCCGAAATGGAACTTCTCTGGCGATCTATACCTGCCAAATCCCAGCGTGATCTCTGGAAAAGGTACGCTTCATTTTCATTCTTTCTCGTTGGATTTTGATCTCCGACATTGAGATTGATTATTTGGTTTGCTTTAAAATACAAATTATGTCGTATTGGAATGATACGAGCGGAATGTATACGAGGATTTATATTGCTGATACAATTAGTGTGGGATTGAAACGCAGTTGATTGATAAGTTGAATTTGATGTTCGATGTTTGTGCGATTTATGGTCTAGTGTGGTTCATTTCTTCGATTAAGGTGAAAATGTTTGAAAATCTAGCTTGTTCAATAATTATAAGATCTTATCATCAGATCTGAAAATCCAGTGCATTGTGGGTGAATTGTGTAAAAGTTTAGTGCCAGAAGACTAGGTATTTTGTCATCAAATTAAAGCATTTAGATTGAGATCCCAAGGTAAAGCGTCAGTTAAGGAGAAAATTTAATTTGAGAGATAGAGCAATGCAAGTTCTATATGTAATGTCAAATGGAGTAAATATGGTCAAAACTGAGAAACGAATGACAAAGAATCCCAACAAATTTATGGCATCTGGATGAAACGAGGAGGAGAGGATGGGAATTGTTGAATGGAATAATCTTACCACTTTCTTTAGCAATATGTAGATTTAAACTGAAAACATAAAAAGGTTATGACACTTGTAGCAATTTTTTTGTCTTCTCATAACAGAGATAAGGCTCAGAACCGCCTTGAAAATTCAGCTAATTATATTATGGATAAAGGAAACCAAATGATCTAAGAGTTGTGAATAGATGAATTCATAGAATTTAGACACTTTGTTACTATTTGATCTAAGCTATTTTAGCTTGTACTTTGACATTCTTTCGGGTTAATCCTTCAACTTAGCTAAGAATATGAAAATAAAGTATTCTACTCATTTTGGTGCTCTAATTTTTTCTCTTGTTTTCTCCCCCGAATATTTGCATCTGTTTTTTCCCTTTTGTTCTCCTTCTAAGTGTTAGGTTTGGTCTTTATTGTAAGAGTTGACAGAGCTAGCCAAAGTTATTTGTTTCACTGTTTGAGTTTGTTTAAATTTGGAAGCTGTTTATTTACGGCTTCAAACTCTAGTTAAGATCATTTCCCGTGTAAAATTTGAGTCCTCAGAGGGAAACTGGTGAAGAGGCTTACAGAGGAGCTGAATCTTAATTATTTTTAAGCTGACATAACTTCATAGTTCATATTCTCCAGCTCTTCCTTTTCTTTAAATGCTGAATTTCACTTTACAGTTGTTAGTCTGCGTCGCCCGGGTTATTTGGTTGTCCATTCAGTTGATGAGGTACACTTTTTTATGTGGAATATGAATAGGTTTGACATTAGAAATGTAGTCTACAATGCTTGAGTTGCTGTGTTTTTGTCTTAGTAAATGAGGCTTAAAATCTCATATAGGTTCCTTTTTGTAAAGTTCGGTGAACAACTTCGCTTGGTGTCTACTTTTGTATAATTTGGTGATTCAAGTATAAAAATCAATTTCGTAGATAAAGAACAGAAAAGCCACTTTGAAGGGGCTTGAGAAAATTAATCAGTCCCCCTTTTCTTTTCATCCTTTAGGTGCTGTTGAACTAAATGAATTGGAAGAATGTGTGTCCACCCTTCGAAGGATGGCTGCAGATTTAGATGGGTGACTTTGGATATTCTATGCTAGTTTAGGTTTACAAAGCTCTTTGTCTATGATAAAATTAGTTGCAGGCCACTCCTTGTAAAAAAAAATTCATCCAAATAAAAGAAGAAGTCAAGTCACTGGATTGTTGGAATAGCTCTTCTAGGATGACATAAGAGAAGCTATATGCATATAGGGGAATTATGCGAAAATGGTCCAGAAGGCGTAGTGGAGAAAGCACCAACTTGCAATAACTGATGTGCCTGTTTGTTGAATTAAGGAGTGGCTGATTAAGTTGACTGTATAGTCTGGAAGTAAACAGAAGGTCATGCTTTTTTGGAGCTTCTTCAGTGCATGCTCAATGCTGTGTTTATGTCTTCCTTGTGCAGAAAAGTGGAACAAGTGGCTGAAGAAGCTGACTCTTTGAAAACTAGTTTGGATAAATACAATTTAAGACATCAGCGGCGTATGCAAGAAGCCCGGGAAAGAGCAGAACTGATTGGGAGAGCTGTATGGCATTGTTTTCTTACAGGTGTTATAAAATTTTATTATGATACTCTGATGTTTCCTTCTAATGGATTATTTATTGTTTTAGAATGGTGATTCATCCCATGTTCTGAGGATTTTCGATGACGAAGCACAGGCGATGCAATCTGCTCGTAGGTCATCAAGAATGATGGAAGAAACCTTGGCAACAGGTGTGGCCATTCTGTCTAAATATAGTGAGCAAAGGGATCGTTTGAAGGTACTTTTCAACAGAGACTACTCCTTTACATACTGAACAGCATAGAAACTTGTTTTGTTTGTTACTGCCTTGATATGAGATTTAAATGCTGAAACATGCTGGGGATTCTTTTGCCTGGAAAGTGGGAAAATGATGCCTGTTTGGTGACGCCATTATGCTATCTTATCGTTCCAAGTTATATAACTTTTCACTAGATATATGTGGCTGAAAGACGGGAGGGTGAATAAGTCGATTTATATTAGCTTGCAGAAGTATGATTCTTCCTCCATGTTTTGTTTATAGAATTTAGAGATTGATAAAAAAAAAAAAGAATTTAGAGATTGAACGGCAATATGATATAGAGATTTTTTTCTATTCGGACTTAAAAATAATTAAGAGGAATGGTTAATCGAGTTTTGCTCCTTACTACTAACTCTTTTATAGCAAAAAGAAGAAATGTGGTAGCAAAGCAAAAGTGTAAAGTAAGGAGAGCTAAAAGCTCCTCTTTGTTTTAGGTTTCTGTTGTTCAAGCTCTGGCTGCAAGAGTATTTTTCCAAAACTTTTGGGTCTGGATTCCTGGTTGAAAGGGGAAACTTGTTCATCTGACTTTGGGCCGTAGAGCTTTGCGTTTTAAATCAACAGGGCCTTGGGTATTTTAAATCAACCCCTTTGCTAAATATGGAAAAGCTATACTATGTAAAGGAATACATATGATATAAGATGGTCAACATTAGTTATCACTTTTGTTAAAACACAATTTTTGTCACTATCACTGTTATTACTTTCTAAAGTTTGTGTCAGTCTCGAGCATTATGGTTAAACTGATGGTCTTTTGTTAAACATTGTTGCAGAGAGCTCAACGTAAAGCGCTGGATGTGCTTAACACTTTGGGCCTGTCGAATTCTGTTATGAGACTCATTGAGAAGAGGAATCGTGCTGATCGATGGATCAAATATGCAGGGATGGTCTTAACAATCGTAATCCTGATTTTCATTTGGAGGTGGACAAGATGATAGGTGCTATATCATCAAGGGGACTATTAAAATGAGCACTTTTTCTTGTGGTAGTATTGAGAGGCAATGAAATTGTGAGAGTGATTTGAAAGGAATCAGAGAGGAATCCGAGCCATTTTTAGCTAATGTGCAGATCTTGATAAGCATTGCAATGTAAATGTCAAAATGAACATCATTTTTTGGAAACATAACTGGTGTATCAATGATGTTATCAAGTTTATGTTGTATGATTGCATCTCATTGGAGTTAAAAGGTAAGCTACTGTCATTTCCTTCTTGGCTTTTAACTTTTATAGATTGAATCAATTTCTCAGTAGCTATACCAAAAATGAACCAATGTCAACAGAGGAGTTCCAGCGTGGAGCATCCAAGCGAGCAAGAAAACCCTATGGTTAAAACCTATATTCAATCCAGGTCTAACTCCGCAAAGTTTTGAATTTTTAAATTAGAAAAGATTCTGTCTTTATGTCTTCTACTATGCCTTTAGAATAACTTGGGTTATTATAAATTGGTGCCTAACGTATCAGGACATTCTGTTCCTACAGGGTTCTGTTAGTAAGCTACTGATTTTAAATCTTAGCTTGCTCCATTTTCTAATATTTGCTAGGACTAAAGAACTTAGGACAGAAAAATGAAAGAAAAAATAAAACCATAAACTGCTTTTTCTGGTGACTTTATAGTCCGATTCTTCCTTTCTTGTAGGTAGGTAATCATATTTTAGTTGCTACTCTGTCTCTCCTCTGTTACGATTTGGGATAAACATAACCATCGAACTCCACATTCTTCCAATTCAGGAGTTTTAGCCTCTTGGAGGTTTAATAAGGCATTTATGTTAAAAAATGAAACTGCTAAAACAAAAAAGCTAGCACAGGAATGCAAAGAAGCTAAACAAAGGAAAGCTTAATGAAAGTTGAGAGAAAAGATAAAAGAAAATTCTGGTTTTATTGATTTCTTCAATGTGTCCATACAGCCAAAAGCTAAGGAAACATATAATACATAGAGAAAGGATAAGAACGGTCAGTTGACACATAACAAAATTCTCTGGCAAAAGGATTCAGAGACATTGTTTACCACTTCAAACTAAGTGGGGTTAGCTATCCAATTAAGGCTTCCAACATGAGGAGTTGCTTGACAGGACTTGGGCATACCAGAAATGCTTATGATCTTCAATATTTTCTCATGCATGCTATAGGCAATTAAAATCCCACCTTGACAATCTAGCAAGATGCTACCATTCTTAAGCATGCACATCACTTTAACAGTTCCCTTCTGCAAACTAGTCCTCCAAATGTCATATGATTGGGGTGACATATCTTGACCCACAATTGAAGAAGCTCCAATATTGTACTCTTTCACCCAAGATTCTTTCTTGTTATACGCTTCCATGATCCAAATTTCCAAGTTCTCGCCATTAGAGGTTAATAAACACGTGCATAGACACCCTCTGAGTGAAGCCAGATGATAACTACAATGAAATAAGTTGACATTGAAGTCAGGTCGTGGAACTTCTTGAAATGCATCATTAAATAGGTCAAAGGAAACGATAAGGCGATCAAGGTGCCAGTTAAATCTAGTCACCCAATGGAGTCTTCCACTGACCAAAACACCAGGTGAATGATGAAGCTTGTAAGGTAATTCCCCTAAATTTCTCCAAGTATTGCTTCCTAGGCTGAACACGTGAACTTCTGAACGTGGAAGATCATGATCGTGTGTATTTACCGGAGACCAAGTTGCATAGTAGACATGAGGATAGTAGCCTATTTTAATAACCTTGTACTCATTAGTAGCAGGATGAAATCCAAAACCATAAACCACTTCATTCACTTCAAACTCATGATTACAATGTGGCAACTTCTTGTGTTCTGCGGTAAAAGGATTGTATATGTACACAGCTTGATGGTCGTAGACGCCAGATAGGCATAGCAGGCCTTTACATGATCCTACTACTCGAAATTTTGCCATGGATGCTGAAAAGGGAATCTGAATCTCTCTCAATGTGTGTTCATCATCATCATGATCAGATAGTTCAACAAAGAAAAGCTGCTCTTTTTGAGGATGGTAACTTTTAAAGATGATGCATGGATTGATCTTCAATGCACGAGTCAAGTGCAGATCGACAAGGCGTGAATCATGTGTTAACATATTCCAAGTTTGGCATACAAACCTGAACTGAATGAGAGATGAAATAGGAAGCCTCGAAACTATGTCGAGTGCTATTTCATTTTGCAGACTATCCATCAGATGTCTGCTCTCACCAGCCGGCTTCCTTTCTCTTTTATGAATGGAGTCCATGAACAAAGTAATATCAGAACTAACAAAGCACAGAAACCTTTGTTAGGTATACTATCAAGACATCAGATCTGAAGATAAGTACTAAGTACTAACCAAGTAAGAAACTCAGAGATGAAGAGAACCTTTGCAGGTAAAAGGGGACAAGAGTTGAATACAATTATCAATCATCACAAACTGACAAGGTGATTGAAACCAAAAATGTTGATTGCGTTACTTTTTGTCCGCCTGGGAATTAGTATTCTAAATTCTAACTTCATGTCCCCATCATAAGTTAGCTGGACAATAAGTACATAAATAACAACTTGCATCAGAATATTCCTCATTTAAAACTGCTTGAGGTGTGAGAATTTGTTATCGTGTAGCCTGGGAATTCTTTTGTTTTGTACAAATAGCAAAAAGATCTATCATGACCCATCATTGCAAAAAATATATTTGAAAATCCTTAAATTTCCTAGATATATACACTGAGCAAGCATGCAAATACATTTTACTAGTCATGAAAAGAAAATAGAAACATTCGATCAGGTGGCGATGTCAGAAGCTAGCATCACATGAGGACGCTTGACAATCCAAGGCGTGAACCAGTAAACCTCTCCGATAAAATTTTCATCCAACTGTTGTGTTGCTACAATCTAGTATTCCTGAGAACAGTTGCCTAAATCAGACAAAAGGTTTACATCCTTGAGCGACCAACTCAAGAGAGAAAGACAGAGAGATTTAGGTCAATGTCAGGAGACAGGATGACCATTACCAAGGAGAACAAGCAAAAACAACCCAGTATAATTCCACTAGTGGGGTCTGGGGAGGGTAGTGTGTACGCACACCTTACCCCTACCCTGGAGTAGAGAGGTTGTTTCCAATAGACCCTCGGCATCCTTCCCTCCAAGAACTCCCCACCTTGCTCTTGGAGTGACTCGAACTCACAACCTCTTGGCTGGAAGTGGAGGGTGCTTACCATCAGAGCAACCCACCTTGTCACCAAGGAGAACAAGCATAGACATAATAACACATGAACAAAAACTGCATGCGGAGAAGGATATCATTGGCTCGTCAAGATACTGATCAGGCAGTTGCCCAACTTGTCTTGAATTTCCTTACATCTTTGAAGTCCAGAGGCTTATAAAAGATCTCAGCTGAGATATTAGTTCGTTGCCCACTCACTTCAATTTCTGAACGACATGTAATCCTCCCAACACTGCTTCCTTCGACATCTCCCCTAACTTCCCAGCAGTTTCTTCAGCTCAGTTTACCCAAACGCCCAATGGAGGATTGGACACAGCAGTACGCTTCTTTGCGCAGGACTCCTCCAATTTCTGAATGACATGTAATCCTCCCGATACTGCTTCCCTCGACATCTCCCCTAACTTTCCACCAGTTTCTTCAGCTCAGTTTACCCTAATGCCCAATGGAGGTTTGGACACAGCAGTACGCTTCTTTGCGCAGGACTCCTCCAATTTCTGAATGACATATAATCCTCCCGATGCTGCTTCCCTCGACATCTCCCTTAAATTTCCAACAGTTTCTTCAGCTCAGTTTACCCTAACGCCCAATGGAGGGATTGGACATGGCAGTACGCTGGAGGGATCGGGAAGAAAGGTTCCGCAATGGAGTTTCACAGAAGAGGGGGTCATGGCATACGATGCTTGGAAAAGTGGGGCAGAAAATGCAGATGGATGAAGTTACAGCAGGAGGAACCTCGGGAGTTTTTTGGATCACTAACATGCCTCCTTAGATTTAAAAACTGAAGTGTCCTTTATGTGACCTACAACAATTGTTTGAAGCCACATGAGAACCGTCATGAAATCCTTTTGATGTGAAGTCACCAAAAGTAGAATTTACTAAATGAACCATTGTCTTACAGTGTTTTAAAGGCTCCCCCAGTATGTGTGCACCTTCTCCATATACAAAGTAGATCTGTAGAACTACAAAATATAAGTCCCTTTCAGTCTTGAAAGATCATTTCACAGTAATAAATAAATAAATATGCATACACCAGATAATATCATAATCATTTGCACAACCAAAGAAAGAATCAAATTTGCCAATATTTGGGAGATATAGGATGGCGGAGATATAATTTTTTGATCATCGCATCTTACAAGAAGAAATATCCCATTGACCAATTTCAAGACAATCTTCTTCTTAGGTAGGCCTATCCCTGAAAAAAACATGACAAATACAAATAACTGTCTAATACCCTTATTACAACTATTAGTGTTAACATCTACAGGAAAACATGTATATTCATATAAATTTCAGCTTATAGGACTCCACACTGTATGAGATGGCAAGAACAACACCTCTACATATCATCAATTAATCTAGAAAAATGTTTCATTAAGGTCAGTTTACTCTTTGATATCACTACGAACACAGTTTACCTGGATCAACTATCATGTATGTTCCTCAGTTTCATCTTCACCGCTATCCAGTACAGAACCAACTTCTTGAACAACATCAGCAGTCGAATTTGCCTGCTCTACGAATCTATCTTCTTTCCCGACTAAAGCCAGGCTCTCGAAAAAAGGCTCACCATGAAACGAGCGATTGGTGCCATGGACTCCAAGATAGCTTATGCTTATCTTCTTGGGGTTGTATGAAACCATTCCTACCATTCTGGCAGAAATCAATAACTCGCCGTGAGCCCTAAATCCCACAATATTCCTGAACCCTCCTCTCAAATCAATATTATGAAGTCTACTCCAAGACTTCACCACACCATACTCTTTCATCACCCATATCCAGCAATAATCACTCTGCCAAAACTTTTCATACTCGACTAGCGTGAGCGATGTGCCCATAACCATCACATCCAATTTCATCACATTTCTCTCAGCAACACTATCTGGCAAACGTATTTCACTAAAATTTTCAGTTCCCACATGAAATGCTACAATAAAGCTATAATCTTTATTATTACCACTGCTGCTGCTGCTGCTACTGTTATTATTATTACTACTATCACCATTACCATCATCATCATCATCACCCGAATTAGATGCAATCCAATGAACGGCACCATTAAGATAAGCCGAAACAGAATGATTCTGATGCAAAATATACGAAGGACCCACATCAGAAATGCTCCTCCAAACCCCACTACTCAAAGAGAAAACCTCAATCCCAGGTGGAACCAAGAATTTAACTGCCCTCAATTTATCAAGAAACTCAATAGTTGGTGGAAACTGCAACTTATAATCCTCAGTAGCAGTACTATTATAAACAACTCTAACAACTTTATAGTCATTCTTCACAACATCAAATCCAAACCCATAAATACAAGATCCACGTCCATTATACCCTAAATTAGGCCTGGGCAACTTCAAATGTTTACGAATTATAGGGTTCCATAAAATCACTGTATCCGTATATTTATCATAATCATCAGAAAGGCAAATAAGACCATTACAGCAACCAATGATTCTTAAATACTCACTACGACTCTTTTCGGGGCATTTCAGCTCTAGATATTCCTGGAACGAATCAACATCCGGGGAATCATTTTCATCTTCATCGTCGAAGTGTAAAGCGTAACGTTCGACCCTGTCGAACATGTTGTAGTGACGAACGAATAATAAAGGCCGGCGATTGGTGTTGCTGATGATTTGGGTATTGTGATGTACGGAAATGAAATTAGGGTTTGTGATTAAGGAATACCATGATTTGCATACGGTGGTGCAGTGAATTAGAGATTTTAAAGGTAGTTTTGATAGAATTTCGACAAGAACATCCTTCGGTAGATAATCTGACATTTTTTTTTCAGCTTACAGATGTGATTGTGTATGTGAGATTTTTGAGCTAGGAAACGAGTGAATTACAAGTAAAGTAACCCTAGTTTTTGTTCTTTGGTGGAAGATGACGATGAGGTTACCGGAAACGTGCATAGCCGGTTACTGGGAATCTCAAATTTAAAAATAATTTAATTTTAAACTTTTTATTCAAAAAAAAAATGTGCTAGAGGCAATGCTAGTTCATGATTCGGTTTTTTCCTAAAAAGAAATCAAACCAAGTAAGTCGGATTTTTCTCGATTAGGTTTATGTCGATTTTTCGATTTTTTCGGTTATTTGTTGGTTTTTTCTTAAATATAATACATACACTACCAAACACACATTTCGGCGACCACATTTTCAACATGACACTATCAAATCAATTGCCCTTTGAGAAAATTATTATTTACCAAGATATATTGATGATAATTGAATCAAATAGTGATGAATAATTTAAGGACTCAATTAAAAATATATTATTTTTAACATGAAATAAATTCTTACACTTAACAAAAGAAAATTACCAATTAAACTAGAATGTAAAGGTAAAGAACTGTACTAAAAGTGCAAACGATTAATATTTACTATAGAAATTTAAAACTTTGTATAAAAGTATGCATATATATAGGTGTAATAATAAATTTAAAGTAGTTACTCCTATATTTGGTTTGGTTTGGTTTTTTTTAACTAAAATCAAAACCAAACCAAATTTGATCGATTTTTAAATTTCAAAACCAAAATCAAACCAAAAAGTATCGATTTTTTTGGTTGATTTGATTTGGTTTTCGGTTTGGTTCGAGTTTTCGGATTTTTATGAACTCCCCTAACAGCAAGTACTAATTTTGCACACGCAATTGAACTTTTTGCACTCAATGAAACATTGAAAATTGATACTTATGTCAAATTCAATACTTTTTATCAAAAGTATATCTATCGTAGTGGTAGCAAAATGAATAAAAATAATAATAATTTATTTATATTATTCATTAAAAAATAAGTTGGATAATAAATTTATTAAAAATGGATCAAATATGAATAAGATCCATATTATCCACTTAAGAATGGATAACCAATGAGTTTACTTTTATATTTGTAAAGAGTCAAATTTGAGAGACTAGAAATCCTCCTAAAAGTAATCATATTCAATAACTCATGGATAATATGGCCGGTTAACAAATTTTTTATTCATATTAATATTTTATTCGTTTTTTGCATAACTCATTTTAACCCGCACATATTTGATCCAACACTCCCGTTCGCCATCCCTATTCTATAGTATACCAAGCACGCCTAGTATTTGTTCCGTATTTTTTATATCGGTATTATTATTGTTGTTGTTATTATAATTATTATTATTGTTATTATTATTATTATTATTATTATTATTATTATTATTATTACTACTACTACTACTGCGACTATTATTATTATCATTTTCATATTATCTTAGTCTTTTATTTCTATTACTACCTATTATTTTTTTATGTTGCCTTTTTTATTACTTTATTATTTTGTTGTGGTTACTGTTTTTTTATTATTTCAACATAACTTTTTTACTATTATTTTTTCTTTTCAAACCTGCTTAGAAAAGCTTTTTTTAGGAGAGAATTTATCGAAAATAGTCTCTCTATCTCCACAAAATAGGAGTAAGATTTGCGTATGCAATTACTCTTTCCAAATTTTATTTTGCGAAAATATACTAGTGAGTATTGTTATTGTTATTATCCAACACTCTAGTGGGAGAAATAAATAGTAATTTAATAGATAATGCCTTAGAAAAAGTAACAAGTAAAGAACCAAATGCCAAGTTGAGAACTTGAGATGTGGGAAGTCAAGCTACTCTATTCTCTTTTCTGTATTCGTGTTCGAAATTTAAAGGTAACACGTATATGTTATCCTGTGAAAAAAAGCGTAGGGAAATGACACCGAAAAATAATAATAACATTGTTTCAATATTTTTTGTAAGTAGATACACGAATTAGCTTGAGTCGTGCTGGGCATTGTCCTAAGAAATTATTTCAGCAGTGTGAAATATTTCTCCATGATTAAACAAGCTTATCTCTATTTTATTTAGAAGATACAGGAATCAGCAAAATATTAAATGATAAACTCAACTATTTAAAAGGAGAACAAACAAAGTAGACTACAAATATTTTAAGGAGGAAAGAAAAAAAAGCTGAGAGGAACGAAAAAGGCAAGCAAAATATGCTGATACTTGATGGCTATTTTGAAGGCCTATCTATTTATATATTTATATATAATAGGAGAGGCAAAGAAAGATTATGATGACAAGTAGCAAAATATTACATTGACACATAAAGTTTTTGGACAATTCTCCAACTTTGTTGGAGATTCAACTTAAGAGGCAAAGAAGTGCCTTTACAGCAGTCCTATTGCATAGCCATTAGAGAGAATTGAAGGGTTATGTGGTTCTGATTTCTGAACATGATATTAGTCATCATGCAATAATGTAGATGAATAGATGTTTTAGCCTTTTGGGTCTTTGTTTTTGTAGCAGGTCTTTCAATATTGAAATGTTTATGCATCAACTTGACATAATAGAAGGTTGCACCTACTAAAGAAAAGTAGTGAAAAGTGATGTAGAATAAGAAAGGAGATTTCTACATCTAAAATGTGAAACCCAACAATATGAGTAGCGGAACAATAACCTGCTGAGGCCTAAATTTATATGATTATTTGCTGAAGTGGAACTTTAGCAAAACACTTGGTCGTTACTAGGTGTAGGGTACCTAGAGGATAAATGGCGATTCATATAAGTAAAAGTATGGAAGAAATAAATAGAGTTGTGTACTGTAGCCAAGGTGGGAAGTTCTTGGTGGGAAGGATGCCGAGGGTCTATTTGGAAACAGCCTCTCTACCCTAGGGTAGGGGTAAGATCTTGCTACAAATTTATGGAACTTATTAGTTCCTATCTCCCATTAGATTTTTCTTTATGTAAGGATGTAAAATTTGACAACTTTGTACTACTTTCCACTTTGGTTTTTGCAAATAATTTTTCTAAATATAATTTTTATGTCATATATCCATAGTTTTTAAAAAATAATATTTTAATAAATAAAGTGTCAATGAGCACCTTATATAATGCAATATGTAAGAGTCGCGTGGAGGGAATACTGGAGTCGAGACAGTAAGCAACAAAAGAGATGAACCAACACTAAACATTCTGTAGATTACTATAAAAATTCTTAAAAAAGTTCCAATGTTGGTTGACATCCAAAGTCACAAACAAATATTAATAAAGTTTCCATTCCTTTCATCACTACTTTGGTTTTATCATCCTCTCAATTTCGGGATTGAAAGAATTCGGATGAGGATGATAAAGCATAGATAATATATGATCACCAAAACTTAGGGTGTTTTTCTGTTCATTCATCTTCTTCCTTTTTCTTATGGCTTCTTTGTTGCGCTCTCAGTCTTTTTTCTTTCTTATATTTTTTTTTTGCATTTACTACTAAATTCAAGAAGATAACAGCTTATAATTTTGTGTTTGTTATCTGTGATGTTTGGATATCTTTTGTACTGTTTGCAGTAGCTCAATTGAATGTATATGGATTGTTCCCTGCTTCTCCATGACCTTACTTGATATTCCGAGGAAGCTTCTATATGCCCATTAAAAATGTAGACCGAAAATGAGGTTAAACCTGTGGTTGCGGCTGAATAAACTCCCATCGCCCCTAAATCATAGTTACATTTTTTTTTTGTTTTGATACGCCCTCGAAATTCAATTTCTATGGGAGCATTATTGCTCCTTTCTTTTCAAAACCTCCTATAGACTAGGTTGAGATCTTATCCATTTGTAGATGGAGCTTCGATAGCAGCTAGGTCTAGAGGGAAGTGTGATGGTTATAGTTACTTCAGTAATATTACATTTGATAATAGATATTGATTTATTTTTTTTGTGAATTTTTTTCTCAATAGATGGGTAGAAGAGTAATCTTTTTTAAGTTGTAAGATGTTTTTCACATTTGAATTAAAAAAATACTTTGACTTTTATACTCTTAAATTCTTGATCCTTTGTTAGGTAAGTGTGTTACTTAGCTTTTCCATATGTTTTTTGTAATATAGTGAATAGAGACTGTTACATAATAAGTGTAATTGGTTTATCTCACTATACTAGAGATCACATTTGAAGTTAAGATAAAAGGGGTGACTTCCAAGTTGATGGAAGATAGGCTTCGAGTTAGTGCGAATTCGTATAGTCAGACCCAACTTGCAGCGTAATTCTTTAAGTTTCTTGAAATACTTTACTTGCTAGTTATGCCTTTCTAACCTATAAATGTGATTCATAATGTCTTTTTCTCTGTATCAACTGGGGATGGGACGATTGAGTTAGTATGTTACTGGTAAAGCTATATATAATTTTCATGCTGAACTCACATGGAAGAATAGAGGAAATAAATATAATTTTATTTAATTTTTGATTGCTTTCAACTTTTTCTTGGGTTTGGAGTTCTAAAAACTTAAATTAAGCCAAGGAAGCCGGTAGTTTGTAGTGGAAATCAGGTTCACATAGTTTATGATTCTTATCCAAAGAAGTTGCGGTTTCTAGAAGAACGCCTCCAAGGAAGGTCCAGCCATTCCCCTACTTCTTTCCTCCTCAAAGAGCTTGATTTATATGTTGAATTATAGGAAAAAGGAAAAATGTGCAATCTTAACAAAAACTACTCTAAAAAGCTAAGAAACTAAATTATCTAGGGAGGAATTTGTGTTTTTAGGGACATGATGGGCTTCTTTAAAGTCGATCACAAGGTATGAGAGAACCATTTAATTAAAATGTTGCAGTGACCATCTTCCTAGCAACATATGCTCAAGGATTTAATGCATAATTTTTTTTGGAGGAAGAAGCAAGACGGATTAAAGTAGCACTCATGTTATTGATATTTATCACTCTATGTATATGAATAAAAATAGCACGGTATAGCCAGTTTTCGAACTGGTCATTTAAAAATAACCAGCGTTTACGAAGTCAATGAAAAATAGCCATATTTTGCTGCAACAGAGATCGGTCCAGCATAATATACTGGAGTTCGGTGCA